GTTGCTTCACACAGGAAAAACACACGCGACGAAACGTAATGATCAATTTTGTCCTCAATCTCACGCTATAACAGAAAAAGCTTTTGAACATCTGTAAACTCCGAGCGCTTCGCAGTAAGTGATATTTTCAATGAATCTTCGGATTGTTTTCAAGTTCAAGGATTGCAAATTACAATTTTATGAAAAACGAAGGTTGTTCTGTTATTTCAGTGTGAATCCTTGCATGCCTGCCAGTCGCTGGCGCCGCTTGTTGAAACTAAAACGAAAAAAAAAACTCTTTTAAGATTATCATTGGCTTCTTTTTCACCCCACCACTATTCTTAGCAACAAAGGTCGACATTTCGTCTGTTTATTGCTCGCCAAAAACTATAAAATGCACTCAAAAGCCTAAAATCTAAAAAAAGTTTACAGGAAGCGACCAATCGAGCGAGCGAGCGAGCGAGCGAATGCCATTCCCCACATCGTATCTATAACTCGCTCTTGCGCATGCGCGCAATTCACGAGTTAAAAATGAAATGTTGACGAAATTTTGTCAGATATGAGGAATAGTCCTACCATCAATGTCTTTGTTGAGTGAGTACAAAGGTTCTTTTTAAAAGATAAATCATAGCTCACTAGATTGGTACCACAAGCATACTACGAAAATCGCGACTTCTTCAGAGTTTTTTGGCGGGATTCGAGCTCGTCACCCTCACAGCGGCTTTTGGACAGAAATAAGAATATCTCCACGTAAACTCTCATAAACTAACACTATTTGAGCCATAAAACACACTTTTTATCGATTAGCACGCGTAACAAATCACTTGGGATGTTGGAGGAAGATAGGAAAAGTTTGCAAATCACGCGATGCTAACTTTGTTGCGGCCGAAGCAAGATCAATTTTAAAGCGTACGTGAGGATATCATTGGGGTACTGGGGTATAAATTAATGGTTTTCAGCCCTGACAATAAAAAGAGTGGCGCTGTGGATGCTATGCGTTGTTACGACATATTTTCCGCATGTCAGGCTTGGCATTTTGTTGTTGTTGAGCATGTTGATCTACTACTCATCCCGTCTCCCCTCATGCTTTTTCTTTCTTTATTATTTTTTAATTTTTTTTATTTTTACTCTTAACGGTTAATTCAACAACATTGAGAAAATAATCTCTGACTTACAGAATTCTATGGTAGAATTCAAGAGAATGTAAACTTAGAGAACAAAAATAATTGTTATGTTATGTGCTCTACTTGTCATAAGGATTGGGGTTATTGCCACGAACGGTGAGTATCCTGATATAAAATATAAAACTTTCATCCAAAATCCTTTACGAAGGCTTTGTGAAAACTCACACTAAATTTTATACTGTTTAACCTAATATTAAGACCAAAAAATCGAGAAAATGAAGGAGATAAAGAGGTTTTAAAAGGAGATTTTCGTGGCACCGTTCGAGGATGCTGCCACCGCGCATGCACGAAAAACTTGATGTCCCGTATGGAAACCAAGGCGACGGCTGCGCGTCGACCAACCGCAACAGGGTTATTACAGCTTTCTATTATCTTAACCCACTCCTACATAATAGAGCAAATAAATATAGATAATGGAAGGGATATCATTGAGTCTGTTTTGCCATCAAGAAGTGTTTGGTTTCGATAAGAAGCAAATTGATCTGGAACAGTTTGCCACAGTTATATTATAATTATGCGATTTTAAAACAGAAATGATCGTGTTAATTCATCATTGGTGCCTAATTGACGTTCGGTACTACACCTTCGATCAGAAGTAATAATAATGTCTCAGGGACATAAAAACCCAGTTACCAATCTTCTTAAGTTGTTGTGACAAGATATCACGCTGAAAATACATGTAAACTAAATGTATGATCTCAACCGAGCACAACGAAGTTCGTCGTTTAATTCTAAGTTATGCATCTCATTTATGACAATTTTTTAAAAGATGTGAAAAAGAAACAGGAGTATAGTTTTAGCAATTACTTCGCAAACGGTAGCTATCGCCAGACATGACTCGTAAATTGGTCTTTAAGAGTTAAAAAATTAACTAGGTAATGCTATGTCATCCGCACTATTACGAGAAGTAAAATTAATACAGTTTTATTTCGCCGCAATTTCTTTATTTTTGCATTCTATATACAACGTTAAAGGTTAAAAATTAAAATGTTTAAACCAAACGTTTTCGGCTGTTTACCATCATCATCAGCCCTGATGATGATTTTTAACCTTTTAGCCTTGTATATAGAATACATTTTACAAAGCGAACATTATGGACTTCTTTATTTTTATTGCGCAAAACATCTTTCTGCACCTGGTCAAAAAATCCTTTAGACTTATTGGTGTATTCATAAAGGGAAAATAAATGTTGATTTACGTCAGCAAGAACCGATGAAGTGTTTTGATGTTCATTACACTCGGCCTCCTACAAAGTGGTTTGAAATACATCGACACATCTGAAGCAGAAGAAATGCCACTAAGTCACGAGCCAAAACAAGCATACTGACAGCTGCTAACGGAATCTCATGATAAATGATGCGATGAAAGTGCTTCAATCCAGTAAAATGATCGCAGCCCTTTGTTCGCTGAGTAAGTACAAGCCTTATTACATCGTTTGGTTAAGCTTTGTAAATGTAAAACTGTTCGTAAGTGTTATGATAAAGAAATTGAGGTAGCGGGACAGCCTGCGGCCCATGCCAAAATTAAACCTGAAAAGAATACGTCAGTTGGAGCTTATTCAGCCTCTTGATAACAAATCCAGTTTAAATTGAGAACAAATGAATGAATAAGTAAGGTATAACATAAAAATAACATAGGCGATGTGTGAAAGTGTGTTTTTAAATTTTATTTTTGCCTAAATATGATGCAAAATGATTTGAAAATAATTAAACACACTGGCATGTATGATTACAATCATTAGGTTTCAAAAATGAAGTCGTCATTGTTATTCATAATTAGTGTTCTGTCGTGACGGCCAGGAAAACAGTTGCGAGCACCGATATTTAGCTTTAAAGAAACGCGAAAGCTCAGTCACCATCCTCTGAAGCTACGTTCACAGGATGTCACTGTGGAAATACGCATAAATCTATTAAGTGCCAAAGAAAAGTTTGTCGTTTGATAAATAAATTACGAAAGAAATTTCAACAGTCGAAAAGTATTTTCCGAAACGAAAAGGAAGTTTCGTTCGAGCCCATTTATAGAATTATGCTCTGAAGAAAACATTTCATCGTGATAAACAGAAGAAAGTTTAGCATAAGGAAGTTTCACGATGAATACCGTCTGCTTTAGATATAGACGTGACCGGTTTTTCGATTAAATTTCTTTTTGATTAAGCATCTTCTTCCTCGAATTTTTTATTATTTTTTTTTTATTTGATTTGTAAGCGATTTTCCCCAAGCGAACACCAAAACTTCGTAGAAATGAACGATTTCCACTCCACTTAGAAAAAGCCAAAAAAAAAAAAAAAAAAAAAAATATATATATATATATAAAGTGTAAAAATTTGACTTACGCAAAACAGTGCTCAATACCTGTTTTGAGGTCGGTTTCTGTGAGTCCAATGTATGTTTCAGAGGTGTTGTTGTCCCCTTTAAAGTTTTTAAGTTTACCGCGTACTATGTAAATTTTCCTAGCATATACACGATAGTCACATGAATATTCTTTCATTAAACCCCTGAAGAGTGAAGCAATTTACGAAACAGGCCTGTCGGGAAAATGTAGTTGCGTCTTTTTTTCCTCTTAAAATATATATATATATATATATATATATATATATATATATATATATATATATATATATATAAATCTTGATTATATTTTATCCTTGCGGTATAGTGTTCGAGGCGTTCGCAGAGCGTGGACAGCGTGAAACTCAGAGTCACAGAAAAGTTGTCTTATTGATTTGTCCAACTTTCAGATATATATATATATATATTTCATCATTCGTCGAATTCGATAAGTTTATTTTCAATGAATTTTCAATGCATGGCTTCAAAATTTTTAAATAATAAACGTCGAATTCAGTTAAGCTTAAAAACGTTTAGTTAATCGTCTAATCCATCGTGACTGTTTTGTGGCGAAACTGGCTTAGGTGCACTCCGATCCTCATTATTATTCAACTAAACCACCTTGAAGCCGGACAATATTTTTTTCAGGCCTCTCTTATCGCAATTTCTTTGTATGGGCTAGACATCAGAGTATCCTTCCAACATTTTGAGCCTCGATGAATTACAAGATTATAAGCAATAAAGTTTATTTGTTTTTCGCCAACGACGCAAAAATAATAAATAGCTCTTGAATTAGCGCTTAGGCAAACATGCAGCGCCTTCGGGCGAAATGAAGCGAATCCTGTGTTCTGATCGGCTATCCAAATAGGCCAGATGAACTTATCTTGCCAGTCTTGTTAGAGTTCATCCGGTCACTTTATACGCTTAGACCAGCCGCACGCGAGTGGAAATACATTTATTAATTTATTGGTAATGGTTTAACTTCAAATCGAGAAACCTTTTTTCTTTTTGTTGCCAATGATATTATTGTGACAAAAGGTCAATGCACATGTTTAATTTATTTCTCTTCTGCAGTCGTTGTTACTATAATGATGCAAGGGAAAGAAACAGGTGAGACAACGCCATTCCAACTTTAACATTGAAATAACTAAAACAGAACTTAAAAAAGGGGAAATTCCGACTGATTTATAAGAATTATTAGTTATAGACTGCCAACTGAAAGTACGTTAATCAGCTTGTGATTCTAAACGCGAGTTGGAAACAAAACATCAAAGTTAAAGAATAACACTACTACCACCCAGATCTCCCCAATTTCCATTCTTAAAGCCGAGATTCATTCCAATGTTTTTTCTGATGAGGTAAAATGTCTTATGCTAATTTTTTTATAAATAATATTGTTGATATGATAACCAATAATCTTCACCTCAATTATCATCATAAAAACTATTACTACTATTATCATCAATATAATATACATATTTTGGTGTATTTACTTATTTATTTTGTCGTAGAATGCCAGGAGACATGTTTCAATAATTCCTGGTACACATTTTCGAAATGGGGAAGAACATGGTGGTGGAACAGGGAAGCCTGCAAATATCTGGGAGGTTACCTTGTTTCTATCGAAACAGAAGAAGAATGGCAGTTTATCAACCATGAAATTCAAAATCGTTCCTCTTGGAATACTAGTGCGTGGCACATTGGTTTAAGGAAAATGACCAAAAATTGGACTTGGGAGAGTGGAGCACAACTGAATATTTGGAAATGGCGAGATTCTATAACAAAAAATATAAGACGTCCTGCGGAAATATCCAAGAATGGGAGCCTTTTTAACAGCATATTTTGGAACGATAGCAACGCCTTCATTTGTGAAATGCCCGAAGGTAAATAAACGTTAAACCGAGAATTAAGAATTTGTTCATGCTTAGTGTGCGTATATCGAGTTATGGATGCACGCTGGAAGTTTGGAGAACACGAAAAATGCGTAAGAGTAGCTCGAGGCGCAGCCGAGAGCAACTCTAACTTTTTGTTTGCTCTCCAAACTTCACAAGTGCATCCATAACTCGATGTACGCACAGCTAAAAGCATGAGCCAATTCTTTTATAACAGAGCGACAACAAGGATCTGCGCGAAGAAGCCTTTTATTGTGGTAGATTGGCCGATCAAAAACACGCCACATTTTATACTTTGGTTTGAGCGATAACTGTGAATGAAAAGCTCAAAGCCAAATGAACTCAAGTGTCACTAACAAGTGTTTTGAAAGTCAAAGAGTCAACTTGCAAGTTTTTTTCGGCTTTATTTTTGTTGCTTGTTGGATCAGGACCTATAGAAAAATTGGGCAGTTCTTCGCTGGTTTCTTCCGTATTTCAAAGAGAAGAAAAACTTCACTGAAGCTTAACAGGAAGGAAACTCTGAAGCCAGTTAAAAAATGCTCACGTCATCTAATTTACGTACGGGTGTCCGTAAATAAAGATTTTGTTCATAGCGGCTCAATAGGACTTATATAGGGGTTAGGGTTGTATATATATATTATATGCTAAAACATGCCCTCTTAAAAATAATATGATGAAAATTTCTCTTATAAATTGATTTTCCAAAAAATGAGACGCTGCTCACATAATATCAAGTCCAGCTTCACGCAACTTCTACGTGTGTAGGCGATGAATAATTTTATAATGAATAAAAAAGCAGTTGCAAATTATGATAACTCACATTCGCATCTTACTTAGTGACTAATTTAGCCTTTTCAGACTGGTGGCAAGGGTAGTGTAGGATTTTAGTCGAATTTGATCCCAACAATGTTAGAAAAACAATCAAAACAAAACAAAAAAATCTCAAGTATAATGGTGGCATGAACTCAAATCTAGTCTAAGCTAATTTAGGTTGAAATACTAATAACTATATCAATAATAACGACACGCCGGTTTGCTGGCTAGTTTATTTATATCCTTGATTGATCTTGTGTTCTTCTTTTTTACCATTATCATGGTCATTTTTATATTTGTTACCATCTTCTTTAATTTGTAGAATGCCCAAATACTTCTTTTCAAAACTCGTGGTATATATTTACGAAAAAAGGAGGAAAATGGAACAAGGGCAGAGAAATCTGCCAATGTCAAGGAGGAGACCTAGTTTCCATTGAGACCGAAGAAGAATGGAACATCATCAATAACGAGATTCAAAATCGCAGCACAATGTCCAACTGTACTCTTCATAATAGTACTTATCACCATTGTGACGCATGGTACATTGGCTTACAAAAAAACGGTGAGAATTCGACTTGGGTGAATGGAAAACTGCTGGACACGTCTAAATTAGCAAGAAAGCCAAAATTTAGCGGAGTTGCAGCTTACATATCCAAGCGCTATATTAATGGCGGACAGGACATATGTGATGTCCTTGACTGTAAGAATATGGCTTATATTTGTGAAATTCCCAAAGGTGAGAGAAATTAGCCATTTATTTTTAATATTGAATCAAGTAAAAGGCTCATTGACCGTAATGCGAATGTTACCTATGAGTTCACGTCTGGTACACCCACCACTGCTATCATAGCAAGCGGAACTCATGGACCTTCTGACAATCAGGATAAAATTTTCAATTGGGCAAACATTTCTAGATCATTACGTCTCAGGTTGTTCCTGTTCTTTAGTAGTGTTTGTTTGCTTATTTTTTTAAGGGGGCTTATTTGTAATTTGATGTCAGCTGCCTCATTACTATCCTCAACTTTAACTGCAGAAACATCTTTACCATCCGAATCTATAAGGCCACAACCCACTCCATCGCCGCCATTATGGTTATCATTGTCGCTGTCACTATCTCATCCACTGTCTCATTCATCGTCGTTGTCGCAGTGGCCTTCCCAAGTGCTTTCCAAGTTTCCTTCACAGTCGTCGTCACAGTTGCCTTCTCAGTCACCATTGCATTCGACTTCTCAGTTGCCATCTCTTTGCCAATCGACTTCCCAGACACCTTCTCAGTCACTGTTACAGTTTGCATTTCACTCGACGTTTCAGTCAACTGCAGACGCATCTTCATCATCCGAATCCAGAAAGTTACGTCCTACTCCATCGCCTCCGCTGTGGTCATCATCCTTGACATTGCTTTCACTGTCACAATCACCATCCCTGTCAATGTCTCAGTCACCCTTGCAGTCGGTGATGCAGTCGATGTCTCAGTCATTCTCTCATACATCGTCTCATTTGCCATCTCAGTCGCAGTTCCCGTCATTGCTGCATTTCCCTTCCCAATCGCCTTCCCAGCCACTCCCTCAATCGTCGTCAGAATCGCCTTCTCATTCATTGTCACAGTTGCCTTCTCAGTTGCTGTCACATTCGCCGTCTCAGTTGCACTGGGATTTACATTCAACACCACATTCGCAGTCACCGTTATCCCAGTTGCCATTGCAGATGGTCTCTCATTTGCCATCACTTTCACCATCGCACTTGACTTTTCAGTTGACATCACAGTCATCTTTCCAGTCATCTTCGCAATTACTGTCTCAGTTGCAGTCTTTGTTGCCGTCGCCATCGCTTTGGCCACCGCTTTTCCTGTCACCTTCTCAGTCTCAGTCTCAGTTGCCGTCGTTTCAGTTACCTTTTTACTTGCTTTCATCCGCGCCCTTGCCATCACAGTCATTGATGCCATTGACATCATCATCGCCATTGCAGTCAAAAATGATTCAGAAGCTGGTGTGTAATTTTTTTGTTTTTGTTTTGTTTTGTTTGTTTGTATGTTTTCGTTTTTCCCTTTTAGGATTCTCATATTCTACAATTCAACTATTATTTTCCTTACCTCAGGCGGCTGATCATGTCTCTAAACTTGGCAGAATGGATATTACCAATGTCAGTTCCTTGCAGGTATTTTATTCTACTAATTTCTTTCCACAGTTATGCAACTAATGCTCCGTCGGTCTGTTTTTAATGTTCAAACAGAATCCGCAAATATGAAATATCATAAAGCGTATAAATCATGTTTTGTCGGTATGTTAGTTTTTCTGCTTTCGTCTCATATTGCTCGTAAAAGTAAAATATTAATGGCTCATAATTTTTAATTTGATTACGACGTTGAGCTACATAGTTTTTCATGCCTGTAAGAAATATCTTATTGGAATTTTTATTGATTAATTATCGTTATCAGTTTTTTTTATGATCATAATTATCAGTATAATTGTTATCTGTTTTTAAATGATAGGACAATAACTGAATTAACTGAATAATTGATCCTTCTGGACGAGTCGATATTTAACTTGCGCACATATATCTGTACCCGACATTGGTTGGCTCTCTCGCTGGAATACTCTTTCTCATTTATCTATTAATCTTTTTTTGTTTTCTACCCACAAATTCTTGTTACCTTAGCTGAGCAAAATACTACATTTCATTACAGGAAGCCATAGTGGTTTTAGAAGTCTTCATCACCATTATTAAAAGCATCTCAAAAGCTCGTGAACACGCGTCTGTAACAGAAGAGATTGAGACAAGAAGAGAATCCACTTTTAAGGTGGCAGTTGCCTTTGAGGAATTTGCTCTTAATTACAGCAAGCTCCACCTGATTGGAACGAGGTCCCCACAAGTGATCGACAGTCACAAAATGGGTGAGTCTGAACACAATATGGTCTATAGGCCTTGATGATGAAATAAATTTGTGCAGATTACTGCGCTATTGCTGGATCAAATCGATCCATCTGGTCCGTCCATTGACTGTTTGTGTTTATCAATCATAAAACCCCTTATTATGGATGGTTTTACAATATTTTAAGGATTGCACTCGTTGAGAGCTAAAGTTAATAAAAGCGTTGATACAACCATGGTGTACAGACTGTATTTTCAGTCCAGCAAGAGTCGTGAAATTATTGAAACCATCACCTGCTGTTTTGTTCGTTAGTGCTAGGTATTCATAAAGCCTACCATCAAAATGCAAGTGACTTCTACCTTGAAGATCAAGAATTGCAAGCAAGCATAAATGTTTTGTCTGCAAACTTTCCGAAATCCGGTTGGTATCTACTGCAGTGTTTACTCCTAAATTGTATAAGAACAATTCCCCTTGTTTCCCTTACAAATTTACGCGGTATTGAAATTCATTTGCACATAAACAGAGTCCTGAGTTTGTTTGTTTCTTTACACAGTCTATATGATTGAGTTATCTGAAGTTTCTTAAAAGACTGTGCTTCAGCCTTTTTAATTTTTCGATTTTTTTTAGTTTCATTGGTTGTTGGGATTGTGTATAAGGATCTCCACGAAGTACTAGACACAGATCAACTTGTCAGGAATGAAGCAGGCAAAGCCACGAGGTGAAGTTCAACTTCTCTAAAATTATATGATTCAAAATATACAAAATTATAATTTTCCTTTCCTTTTTGTTAGGTATTTGAACTCTAGGATAATGGCCGTGGCTATGGATCCAAAACCAGAAAAACTGGAAGCGAATATCATATTAAAGTTCAGAAACCTGAAGGTAAGAACACGATCAAAATTGGTATCAATTCCTCCACACTGTGTTTATTTATTCCAAGGAGATAATACACATTTTCAGGTTAATGAAAGAAAAAAGACATGTGTGTTTTGGAGGGGCTTTAACAAAAGGTAAGAAACTGAAATATATTACGTACCTTGTTCTAAAAAGTTATGCAAGCCAGGCTTCCGTAATCTTTGTTAATCACAATGAATTTTTTTGTTTGTGAAGGAAACACCAATCAGCTCTTGCAGCAGGAAAAACAAAAAAAAATCAATAACATTCGAGTGGAAAAAGTCCCCACTTGACTATGATGCCAATGTGACTTCCCTAAAGTTATCAAACATCCATCACTGTCAATCTGTTACTTCCTGTTTTGAAGCTATTTGTTTTATGCATTTTATTCCTTTTCACTTGCGGTTGTCGCCATTTTTCGCTTCTGCCATCGTCGTACATATTGTTGCTGACAGAATCGTTTTTTTTTACCGCAAAATTAAAAGTTTACCTTTGATTTTTTTTCTATTTTTCCGTTTTTTCAATTTTCTTCACAGAAGGTAAGATACAGTTGTGTTTTACTCCCCTGGATCGTCAATATACCTTTTCATCACATCGTACCGGCTAGAATATCAAAGCCGACTCTATGAGTGGCAGATATCAATTACTGAATAAAATGGAAAGTAGTCAAGAAAGTCTCGAGGCTACGATTATATGAGGAAGATAGTAAGTTGACCTTTTGGTAACCAAAGGTCTTTCCACAATTTTTTTTTATAATATTGCTGTTATTGTTTTAATTTTTTTGTGTTTTTTTCTTTTAACGTTGTCGTCATTTTTCCAGCTCAGAAGGATTTTCAGGGAGAGGATGCTATGTGGTTGCATCACAAAGCAACTCAGAAGAAACAGTGTGCAGCTGCAATCATTTGACTCATTTTGCTGTCTTACTTGACTACAACGGCAGCTCAGGGGTAATGGACTAATGTTTACCTTACCTTCACTGGCGGTAATACAATTCCATTCAGGTGATTGACACATTTCTAATTCTTTTCATGCCATTTATGAAGCAGCTCACTGGGGAAGACGAAACTATTCTGGAGATTATCACCTACGTGGGATTAAGCCTGTCAATCATAGGAATAATTTTGACAGTTATTCTATATTCCTTCCTTACGTAAGTGCTACAGCCAGAAATTTTAAAACTTTGCATTACTTTAAACATTTCAGACGTAAGTAAGACCTCTTCGCGAAAAGATAGACACTCAGTCAATGCATAATGAAACAATTGCCTGTTGCAACATAAAGTTGCTTTCCTTTGTTTTGTTCGGTTTTGTTTTTGTTTTGGTCTGTTTGTTCTTATTTGTTTATTGTTTCTCTAGAGATGTTCACCAGCCTCTGTCACAAATACGATTGAGTCTTTCTGTTGCCCTCGGAGCTGGACAATTTATTTTTCTCGTCGGGATAAACACCACAGAAAACAAAGTAAGCGACTTCTTCATCCATTTATGAATATTTGCTTGATAAGCTTATGACGAGCACGAAGAAGTACACCAGATCTCTTTGAAAAGATGCATGAAAAGTAGACAACTTTTTTTCTCTCTCCCAGGCTTTTTGTATTACAGCAGCAGCCTTCATGCAATATTTCCTGATGGCTTCGTTCTGTTGGATGCTGGTGGAGGGATTTTACCTCTACCTCTTTGTGGTGAAAGTTTACAACATCACCGAAAAGATGCACATGTATCACGTCATGTCATGGGGTATTTTCATTTTACTTGTTTTGAATTGTTTGACTTCATGATAACCTGAATCGACTTGCATTGACATCCTACTTATGTTTAGGTTTACCCATCGTCACGGTCGGTATTTCATTATGCATCGCTGCTGGAAAAGATGGAATAGAGAGCTTTACTAGTGCTAAATAGTAAGAGAAACCTTCGACATCAGTTCTTTTTTCTCCTTATCCACATATCCTGTCTCCTACAAAAGTGTATTCTTTTAAGTACAACTCTTTTTCCACAATCTTGTGTTTTTAGTTCGGTTTCATTTCGTAGATTTTTGTGTCCCTGTGTTTTTATCCAGGTTTTGTGTCTCTGTGTCTGTCTCTCTTTCTGTTTCCTTCCCCGTCTTCTATTTCTCTGGGTTACTGGGTTAGAGGATTATTTGCAGCAAAAATATGTTTATATTTTTCCCTCCGTTTCTCGTTTCAAGTTGCTGGCTGTCCTACACAAACAACCTCATCTGGATATTCGCCGCATTTATGGCTTTCGTTGAAGTGGTGAGTCTAAAATTAGTCAGTCCCTCGCACTTTCCTTTTTAATGCCAAAACTGACCACCGGTGGAGATCGTCTCTCTTGTTCCCATGCTTATTACAAAAGGAAAAGCATATTTCTGTTTTCGACCACCAGGCTCAAAGCTCACAATATTTTCAACTCCATTTACGCCCACAATGTATTCAGCATTACTCGTCTTAGCAACAGCCACTCTGCCGACATTTGACACTCCTTGTTTGTTTCAGCTCAACATTTTGATTCTCGTCCGAGTCATAAAAGAGATGACCACGCTAGTGCAGCCTATGGGGGAAGACACTCATATCAAGCAGATACGGTGAGATTTAAAATTTGTAGTTAGCGAAATATTTTAATCAGTGGAGGGAAAAAGTTAAATAAACGGGAACCAATTGCTGTAACATCTAGTTGTGAGGTACTTGCCTCAATTCCACCCTAGTTAGCAATAAACAGTGAGAAATTAATTAATTATTCATTGAAGAGGTTAATTCATGATCATGTACAGGAAACAATCAAATAATTCAAACTTTTTTTTTAATGTTGTCGTTATTCCGGCAGACTTGGCTTTAAAACATGCGCGGTGATGATTCCACTGATGGGTATAACGTGGCTATTCGGTCTTTTGTCGCCATGGCATAAAGCTTTCGCCTACATTTTCACCATCTTTAACTCAACTCAGGTGAGTATTCGGTCTTTTGTCGTCATCACAAAAAGCTTTCGCCTACATTTTCACCATCGTCAATTCGATTCAGGTGAGAAGTAAGAGAGACTGTCGGAAATCTAATCATCTGTTGGCAAACTTTAATGTCCAAACTACGTTCTTACATTAGTCTGATGATATTTCCCGTTCAAAGGTAACCTAGTCGACAAGAGGGGATTTACTTCTTGGTTTTTGAGATCTGCAACTTCCCTTAATTTACTGTTTTATCCATTTTTTAAAGACGATTTCAAGATAGAGATTACAAGATGTTTGCACTACATCTAACTTTTTAAACGACGCTCTGCCATCTCTAAAAAAGGCTGATCTTGAAATAATTTTCTGTCTTAGGGACTCCTGATTTTTTTCTTCCATTGTGTGCGAAACAGCCAGGTAAGAAAGATATCAAACAGGGGAGGTAGATCAAGTGAATTGTGGAGACTTTAGAATCACTGAGCTTTGGATGGTTAAGAACTGATATTTTGCCAATTGTTCATCTACAGATTAAAGAGCGATTGAAAAGGAGGATGAACGCAATTTTTCCATCTTCCGAAGTTGGAAACTCTGCAAGGAAGAGCTCACGAGTTAACGCAAGTAATGCCGGGAAAATACGGGCAGTCGAAATGCAGTCTTTCGATGCATAAATAGCACCGCGCCTCGGTGAAGCTAGTCAATCATCTTTTAGCGATTTGCAATCACTTAGCCTGACCTTCCCTCAGTAATTCCTCAGTAGAGCCTGGTTAGTATCATAGTATCAGTAAGGAAAGGGGGATTAGGATTTTTGGTTTTGCGGTGTTCGTCATTTTTTTAGATCGGTTTTTCGGTTTTCTGCCAAACAAACTTCGGTTTTACAGTTTTGGTGTTTATTGTGGTTCGCAGATTTCCGAGTTTTGGCACTTGGTTTTCGGTTTTAGTCAAAAATACTAATGGGTTTTCAGATTTGGAGTCCGAAGTAGTTTTGGCTTTTCCTATTTGGGTTCCAATTCCTCTTTGATCTGAGCGGCAATCTTTTTCCTCCATAGCTGTGAGACCTCTTTGTGCTCCATCTGTCATCTGTATTGGATCGATTAGGGTTTTGACAACTAGGATGTGAAAAATCGGTTTAGACGGTTTTGGATGCGATTTTCGGCTTTAAGCGAATTTTTGTTGCGGTTTTAAATGTAATTTTTTTCAGTTCTGCGGTTTCGTAGACCCCGATGCCCCGATGCCCCGATGCCCCCCCTTCCCCCCCCCCCCCTTCACTAAAGGTAGGGCCATTCTGGTCATTATCTTAATCACGTAAATACATAAATGAACCGCTTATATAGTGCTATTATTACGAAGGGCCGCATTCGGCATCCTGGTAAATCATGGGTCTATCTGTTTCCATAGGAAGTAGGCTCTTTGCAAAGGTAGCTTGGATAAATTGGAGACAGTACTGCCAACAACAATAGTACATGCATGGACCCTCGTTTTAATGGAACGGATACAATGATATAAATCTCACTCGGTTTGTCGCCCTTCTTAAGATATTCCTGCTTAATGTTAATACTTGTAGAAGAGCTTTACATTCCAAGCCATTGAAGTTAGTCAACTGCAATGTTTGTACTTTTATTGTTAAGTTTAAGGTTCGCCCTAAAATTAAAAGAAAAAAACTGTGTAAAAGCTTGATTGCCTATAAATTGTGTTAAACATACAAATCAACGACTTTAACTTCTTTTCTTTAATCTGTTTTCGTGTTCCATATAGTAAGTCAGATACGTAATCAAATTGAATGTGACACAATATAGTTGCTCCTATAGCAATAATGGATAAATAAACAAATGTATAATAAATACATATTCACCTATCTAGTCATCATTATTATTTATTAAAGCCACATTTTTTTTCTTTTCCTTTTTTTTTTTTGTTGTATCCATGTCAGGAAAATGACGAATGTTCTCAAATTTCTCAGAGTCGAAATGAATCAAGTGTATTACTTGAAATGTTGGAATGAAAACTAGTTGGAGAAAAATTCGGCATCGATTGATACAACATGAATGCATATACACAAGTGGCAACTCTTACAGCGATTTTTCGCATTTGCTACTTCTTGTTTATCACCGAAACACCTTTGAGGAAATATAAACTATCAGGAATATACAAATGAAGGCTGGTATGCATTTCAGGATCTTGGACACACAATTCATATAGGATCATGTACTCCTGTTATACGTATCCTTTCGATAGATACAACATTTCCGAAAAAAAAATTCCGTGTTGGGCGGAAATAATTTTTCAGGGTTTGATATCATGGTATGGGTATTTCAAGCGTTATGCTACTGGCGAGTTAAGGTTTATCGGCGCGAGAAAAGCACTGCACTGAAGAAGTTTGTCCCAAAAACACTCGTGTATATCAAGAAACAAACGTAGTAGTTCTCCAATTTCATGACTTTGAATTCTTTTTGGTTTACAAATGCAGAAAACAAGGAAAACTTTTAAGGATCCTTATAAGCGCGCTGCTATTTGATTTCTACTTTCAATATAAATTGTAGTACCCACTGTGACTTTCTTAGCGCATCAGTTTTAATTTACAAAATTTTGGTCTCGTTTTAAATTATTCGTTTGTATTGCTTTTTCTAACTTTTTAAGTTTGAACTTAAATGGGCTGTCAGGGGCAGGTTTCTAATGGCAGAAAAAACTTATGCCCATTTTAAATTTGCTTTAGGCAAAAAAAGTTAGTAAAATAGGAATGACATGTAAATAAGACAGCCCTTAGAAGAGAGATTAAAGAGTTTACGGCAAAACTGCGATAGATTTCAAAAAGTAACCCCGACGCTCAAAATGGTAGTTCTTAAGAAATGTCTGAAATTAGTCATTTCCTTCTATTCAAGAACAAATAGAAAATGTTTGTTCTGACTTCAGATGACATTGTGGTGTAACTGCGAAATGAAATACCGGACGTTCACACTGTACATGTTAGCCAGTTCTAAATCGAGAAAAATATGTTGCATTTTAAAAGCTTGACTGTCGCTAAAAATTAACAAAATACAAGCTGAAATCATCCATTTACTGGATACCGGTCTATCAAGCACTCACGAGCAATAATTTTACACAACGATATAGAAGATAATGGACAAACCATTATACCGACTGTAATATAGTACACTCTATCATATAGCGAGTGCATCATCTGGCTTAAGTTGGCTTTTTTAGCCGCGGGGAAATTATTTCTCGAAGAAATGAACATTCTTCAATCATCGACTACGAACGCATTGTAGATAAGATTTATAGGTGAGTATCAACTTTATTTATGTTCATTTATTCTTGCTACAGTAAGTCGTCGTATCTCCCTACGATAGTTTATCTAGAGAAAGGCTTGATGAACTTCTAACTTCTGATTTCAGTTCTTGTGTCGGATCCCAAAAGGAAAAAAAACCCAAGAAAAAGTTTAAATTCACTGTTTGTTTGGTGTACGTTCGTTTATTTCAATGTCTTCCTAAAATCAATGAACACCCAAATTGCAAATAGATAAACGTTATGACTGTTCTGATAAAAAAAGAAAAAAAGAAAAAAAAATTTAAAAAATCGTAAATTTTTTAGGTCAAAGATACAAACAGGAGTTTAGTGTTTTGGAAAGCATTTCGGATCCAAACGTAAGAATTAGTAATTTTCTTTATGAGTTTACTGGTATTTATGATTGGAAGAAACCTTCTATTATTTATGATTGGAAGAAACCTTCTATTATTTATTTTTGAAGCAAATCAGCAATAGGGATCAGTAGCTTTCGTCTTCCCATATACTGTATAAAACGCCCAAATTGCAATTCTATTCCAGCCATCGACATTTGTAGACATGTTCGTTTTCATCGTAGGTGATATATGGATCTTAGGGCGTCAATACTCGTAATAAATATCCCTATAAACCGAGCTCAAAAAAAGCATCACATGGCTATAAGTTTAAGTGTAGCGACTCGGAAAAGGTGACACTGAGTTGATTTTTAAGCCCCTCTCATGTAATCATGAGTGACATGTATTATTCTTGCTCCACGGAAGGGGACGCTTTTTCTAAGACGGTGCTTCATGCATGCAGTGCACGCTTATGGCAAAGAATCACATGAATTTCCACTCTTGGTTTTTGAAAATGAAAGGCATATGTGCTGGGAAGGATGAAAGTTGTATCTGAGGCAGTTTATTCGCAAAATTTACAGCCAACCAAGCATAGCCCTGGCTAACCACAGGCAAAGTGCATTGGAAAAGCTATTTCGTAATGTCATAGGCACGAACTCAGATGCAACACATGTAGTAAATGGATCTGCTTCAGAACTTTTGAGTTAAGCAAGACTCTTCCTTCCGCCGATCGCCTATATAGGACATCTTCCATTCATATTGGCAAGTTGTTGGCGTCTTTAAGCCGTAATTCATGCTTGTGTTGATCACAAAAATCAAGGTGATTTCTCCCTTTGGCGAAGTGGCAAGTAGATTAAAAAAAAATTTACCATGCAATTCAGAAGCAGTAAACTGCTCTTATAGTCAAACCTGTATTAAACGGTCATCCAAGGGGAGTGGAATATCAGATTCGAGGATTTAAGATTCCAGACCAAGAAAAATATGAATATAACTCATTTAAGATATGTGGGGTCTTTGACAGTCTAAACAGGGTCCACTTTTATTGATAAATGCACCACGCAGAAACGATTTTCAATTATTTGACGTTTTAGGCCGCTGGTAAGGCCTAAAATATTACTGAAAGCAGTAATTTTTTTTACGATGCATTGAAACACGTGGGAGTATATTAGGTATTGATCACTCTATTTCAAAAGGCTCGTTTTGAAAGTACAGCTTGTTGGATTTGTTTTTGTTCGTCAGAATTTACTACGTGGACTGAGTTAATTTTAATAAGATTCCTTTTAATGCATGATGATTAGCCTCAAAGAAGTGGCGTTTTAGGCAATGCACACCTGCTCTAATGAGTCTATTCAACTGCAAGCCGTAGGGTTTTAAAACACTTGCGTGGAGCGATAAGGCCAAAAAATACTGTGATCAATAGACTCCATTAGAAACTCCTTTATATGAGCTTCGCTGAGCATCGTACGTAGAAAATAGGAAAAGTATAATATCACGAAATTTTATGTCTGACTTCACAATTTACCATTTGGACTGTGCATTTTAGCCACGAATGAAGTGTCTATTTCTATGTCTTGTGAAAGTGATGAACACAAAAAATGCTGAAAATTAAAAAAAACAGCCATTTCTGATCGTGGCAGCTGTCGCAGTTTGCTTCAATAAGAACAACGACGAAATAGGGAACCAGACAAGTAATCAGACAAATTAAGATTAAAAACGAAGTTGTGGCACATCGATGCTGTTTTTGGGTGTTTTTCAGTCTGCGTATGTCGCTAAGTACTGGGTTTTCAGAGATAGATGACTGTCTTTGCAAATCAACGCGATAGCGGCTCTTTCGCAAAGTTATGAAAATCCCAGTATAGGCCATTGTAGTTACGACAAGAGGAAACGTCGTGTGTAAGTGAATATCGACTAAAACGTAAATGTTGTGTATTCCGAATAAAGGCCAGGAACACAGTAACTAGATCAAGATGGCGGAAGAACTATTTTTAATCTGAACAGAAAACCTCGTGTACAATACCAAATATGGAAAACAGGTCTCGTGACACTAACTTCTACGTAGAACAGGGAAACCAAAATTAGGAAAAATCTAACAGTAAACATCCCGAGACAAATCAACGAGCTGAAGAGAGGCGAAGATGGTAGAGAAAACAACCATGATCACTGTACAAAAGACGAGGTGTTTTGGTCTGACTTTACGAAGATAGAAATAAGGACAAACAACAGAAACGAAACGATCGACCGACATGGCTGTAACGAGCAAAATTGAGCTGTTAACTCCAATGTATCCCATTATTCTGGGGAAATCTCCCTCCGTAGGAGAAAAATTTTCTCCAAATGTACACCTAAGCCTCATAACAGCCTCTGCTGGGCAAACAGCAATGCCAACGAACAGATCCATCGCAGCAATAAATATCAAAAACACGGAAAATGTTTTTCTGAAGCGACGAAGGGGGTCTCTGTATAATGCCACCAGAGTCACACCATTAAGAACTGATATAAGAAATGAAAGTAGGGAAAAAGATATTCCACTCCCGAGACAAATAGACTTCTCAAAATCTCGCTCCATGACGATAAGCGTATAACAGTTCTGTGACAAAAGGCAGAATATTGTTTGTTCAATGTAAGACGTCTTCAGGGAGGTAAATTGCCCAGAAAAAAAAGAGTTAATTAGAACTTTTCAATGGTTTGTGCATAATGATTACCTTATATACGCCACTAATGCACTGCCTGAATTTGAATAACATTCTTTGTAATCAACAAAAGCCAATCGCTTTAAAGAATCTGAATTTGAAACTAATGCCCTCTAGAGCATGGAGTGCGATGTTGCGATATTATGTAATGGAAAAGGTTGGCTTAAGTAGCTTCAGAGAGGAGATTTTAAGCAAACAAAACATTAATTAGCTAAAAAATGATTAAAAAAGGCCATGAATGAGAGTGGTAATGATAATAAGATACTAAATAAAACAAGTAATACGAAACGTGCTTTCCCTTTTCAATTTACATACGTTCAATAGCAAACGTCGGTTCATTTGCTTTTTTCTTCAATATTATGACATGGAGAAAAATAAAAATAGTCTTTCAGTGAATTAAATGCGGGTTTAAAAACGTATTACGCTCAGATAAAGTTAAGAAGACATACTGGACCTCTCATTTAACGTTAGCTTCCAGAGTTTATTTTTTTTTAATCACGCCAAGAGAGACGAAACGTTTAAGATTCGCTTTCATCTCCAAGAAAATCTCAAGCGTGTGGTAAGGGTGGAAGTAGAAGACTTCTCGAATTTCATGCTAATTGCCTCATAAGTTGCTTAGCTATCTCAGATTCAGATAAATATAACTCAACATGGAAAAAGAAATCTGCTGCTCCGATGTCAAACGTGCAATTTTGAAAAAAAATTGTGCTACATCAGCGAGAAAATATCTTGATACCAATAAAACAACAAGCAGAAATACCAATGAAACATTTTTTGTTCATGTTGTGAACTAATCTTTAAGCAAAAAAATTTGAAACTATGCCAGTATTTTTTTGCCATTAATTTGCGGTTCTTCTTTCTAGAATATTTTCCCCATCATATTTGGAGACCCTGAGGGTATACTCAAACAGGCAGTTATTGACTCGTGGGCAATTTTGGAGGGAACAGCTAATCGAAAAACTATTGTGAACTAGTATGCGCATGTTTGTTAATAGATTAGGAGAGATGGTAAACTTTGAGCTCAGTAAAGAAAGAAAGAAAGATTTTTTTGTCCTGTCACGAGCCTGGGACAAAGAAAAAATTCTGAATCCCCATGAAGGATCAAACCTTTAAAAAGCTCAGAACTTGCCATCTCTCTTATTGTATTTAAAAACATAACGCTATCGACATTGTTGATCCTATCTGTATGCAGGACGCGTGTCATATGAATTTCGTAATAGACCTCGCTCACCGTGAAGTATGTGTGGCTCAGTGACGAGGAATACGAAGGGGACTCAGAATTTTTTATTTGTCCCACGCTCGTGAAAAGACGAACAAATCTATATTTTTTCTCTGCCTTTGCATGTTTAAGCATAAAATTATCATTATTATGATAAGGTTGCAGCTAATAATCGTGATGAATACACTTGCACATAAAGAAAAAGAAGTTTTTTTTCCATTGCGTAGTACTGAAATCAAACGATCAGCGGAGAACATCCTGAAATACCGTGGAAGATGTATTGAATAAATCAGGCCAGTGCAATGTCCGTAACACCCCTTCCCCCCCGCCCAAAAAAGAGAATTAATAATTATAAAAACGAAAATGTCTTGGTGCTAATTAGAAACTAAATCCGTACCCCATGTTTTGGACATCACTCGTGAGTGACCAAGTTCATCTGCCTATCAACTGTCTCTCGCTTTCACTCATGCTTTGTTTTGCTTGTGTGTGTGTGTTGTTGTTGTTGTCGCTGTAAATATCTTGGTTTTAACAGAGATCTTCGTCAACCTCTGTCTCAAATACGCGTAAGTCTTGCTGTGGCTTTAGGAGCTGGACAAATATGTTTTTTCGCTGGTATAAATGCCACAGAGATCAAGGTAGGTTGTTCTTTCCATTATTTAAATGAAATTAAAGATATTATGATCGAACAAAGCATTGAAATGACATAGATTCTGCTGTTTCCTTTATGTATCTGTGCAGGCTGTGTGTGTCATAGTAGCAGCTATTATGCAGTATTTTCTGATGGCCGCTTTCTGTTGGATGCTGGTCGAGGGAATTTATCTCTACCTGTCTGTTGTAAAAGTTTATAACATCAACGACAAGATGCGCATATATCACGTCATGTCATGGGGTATTTTGCTTATACAGCTGAACTTACAATATACTGTGAATTTTATTTTTGGCTAGTTTAATTTTAATCATTTTGAGTCACCTTGATTGGTTTGTCATTTCCTGATAGGTTTTCCCTTAGTTATGGTGGCCATTTCGCTGTATATCGCTGCTGGAAAAGAAGGGATACGGGGTTATACCAGCGACAAATTGTAAGAGGCGTATGTTTTTTTCTCTTTTTTCTCCTCTATTTTTTCTCCCCTTAAAATATTAATTTTTTTCGGTGAAGCTTTGATGTTTCTTTTAATTTGCTTTGACATTTTCATTAACTTTATCTCAAAGTCCTTCTAGTAACATTTATTATTTCGGGAAAGCTTTCTCACATCGGTTTCTTTCTTTATGCAAGGTTTCTGTAATTTAATCCTTGTGTTTCCTTATTCCCTTTTTTTTCTCCAAAATCTTCCCTTGTGATCTGTGCCTTATCATGTTATCATCATATTATTGAACATCTTAAAATGCATTTTTTAACATAATATAAACAACGGTGTTATGCAAGAATCTCAGTCCTGAGAAAAGCCTTAACAACAAATGTGAACAAGTATCATTATTTTTTCATGTCACTCGCCTTTTGCACCACTCGGCCAGGTTGATGAATGAACTGCGAAGCCTTCACCACTCTCAATCAGTCAATAATTATTTTGTTTATATAATAAAAAATAATACCTGGTTACGTTCAGATATGAAATTACTCTTCTCGTGTTCAACTCGAGACCTCACTCGTGAGATATCGAGTTAAACACTCGAAGAGAAATTTCATATCTTCGGGCGCCCATGCATTTTTCGCTACGTAATTTCTTACGAATTCCTTTCACTGCAGATCTTATGCTGACAATTTTTTTTTCTCTTTGTTATCTTTCCCCTTTTAAGTTGTTGGATATCCTCAGCGAACAATTTGATATGGATATTTGTCACATTTGTGATTACAATTGAAGTGGTAAGTTTCTGATTCGGTTTATTCATATCGGTGATTCTGATATATGACTTGAAATGTGTAATAGCCATGCCTCAAGACAAACTTTTAATTCATCTCCTCTTCTTTCAGATCAACATTTTGATACTCACACGCGTCATAAGGGAGATGACCAGAATGCAGCAAACAGGAGACAAGCAAAGTCAGCAATTACGGTGAAAAAGAGCTCTAAAGAGCGTTTAAAAAAAAAAAAAAAAGGAGTACGTCTTACTCCCTCAGTAGCTTGTTGATATTAATTAGTTAAGAGAAAGTATAGGTTCCAAAAATTTTTGTGAGGTTCAGTAAGCAATCAATTAACCAGCAAATTTTCGTCCTACAGAGTTGGCATTAGAGCATGTGTTGTGATGATCCCCCTGTTGGGTGTCACGTGGTTGTTTGGTCTTCTGTCGCCATTACACAAAGCTTTTTCCTACATTTTTACCATCCTCAACTCTACTCAAGTGAGTATCAAATATTATGATTTTATAGTTTCATACGTGAAATCATCCATATTGAGTGTCCAGATTACTTTATAACTATAAATTTTATGATGGTGATAGAATATTTGTTAGTGTAAAACAGACAAAAGAGAATAACAATTAAAAGATAACAAAAAAGGATGTCACTGTTTATGTAATTTTTTGCTAGTCAAGACATAATTTGATTCTTTTTGATGCTATTTGGGGCTTTTAGAGAAAAAAAACCTCGATATATTTACCCCTGGTCGCAATCACAAAACGAAATTGGTCTGAAAAACATTTTTTTTCCGTCTAAGGGTTTCCTGATTTTCGTCCTTCACTGTGTGCGAAACAGCCAGGTAAGTTTTAAAACTTGAGGTTTTAAAACTTGAATGTACCTTGAATGTGGTTCTTTTTCTTACTTTCCATGTCTATCGATGCCTTTATTTGTTTACTTTGCTTGTCTATCTGCAGATTAGAGAGCGATTCAAGCGGAAGGTGAACACGGTTTTCCCATCTACAAACAATGGAAACTCCACAAAGAAGAGCTCACAGGTTAATCCAAGTGGTGTCGGTGATACATGGGTAGCTGAATTGCAGTCTTTCGATGAATTTGAGCTGGAAAAACACTCCGCTTGAAGAGCTAGATTCAACACGGACCAAGCATGAAACTCCATTGTTTAATTGTTTAATTTGATTGTTAAGCTTAGTTGGTCAATCGCAGTTGCTCATTTTCGATCTTTCAGGAAGATTTCGGCCGTTCCAATCGAGGCGTTAGCTTCGTGAATAAGTCGTACTTAAGGTGTCACTTACTGCGATAATAGGGCAACTTGCCGAAGGTAGTAAAGTTTAGTGTAAGCTAGATGCAAGAACTGCTCAAGCTTTTTTTCCTTTAGATTAGGAGTACGTAATTTTTAGACTATCGTATCTACTTAGGGAAAGTTTGCCTTAGCTGCAATCTAAATTTCTTTTAAGTAACTATCTTATAGGCTGGCTTTCGATCACTGTAAGAATACAAAACAGTCTGTTCTAGCTTTTTTCTGGTTTAAATTAAGAGTACATAATTTTTAGACTATCGTACATAATTAGGGAAATTTTGCCTTAGCTGCAAACTAAATTACTTTTAAGTATCTAACTTATAGGCTGGCTGTCGATCGCCGTTAGAATTCAAAATAGTCTGTCTCTCAAACGATGGTTTCTTCATTCTATCAATGATTGCCCCCTATTATTTCCTATTATTTAGTTGAAATGTTGCGGTCATGCAGTCAATACTGACGTGTCTTTAAACAGTCCTATGTTTTACTATGATACACATTTTTATGAAATTTAGCGCGCAATTTTATACTAATATTTCACGATAGCGTCAACCTTTTTGTATTATTTGAGCAGTTAAATTACCAGTAAAATCGCAAATACTATTTGCTTTTGTAATAGTAGCGGTTAATGCTAACTTTTAAACTTCTTAAATTGATTAAACGCAGCGGATTCAATGGATTAAAATTTGCGAATTAATGGGAAAAAATGGAACCAACGTCTTCGGGAAAAATGCACCTGAGCAAGAAATGCCCTGAGTTTATCTTACGTGGAGGAATGTTGTAAACGTGAAAAAACAAAATGGCCTTTCATCAGACTTGTTTTCCGAAAAACACAAAAAAAGCACAGCGAGCAGTTTTCATGGGTAAATTGAAGCGATAAGAGAGGTTGAAATATATATTTCAACCTCCACCCCCCTCCCCCTCTTGCCCTCCCCCTCTGTCCCGTCCCTCGGCCCTTCATAGTGTTTAGATGAGGATATGTAAACACCGCAAAAATAATTTATCATCTTAGTGTGATACGAATTGCAGATAGGTGCAATTTACAGTACTGTGCAGAAGTAATATAAATGAAGACTTTCGAATATAGCGCTTTCTTTTACAGATAAATTAGGAGGGGGTGGGGTGGGGGAAGCAGACATCCTATGTGTCTATGTCTCATTTCGCCTCTCGCAACGTTAGAAAAATGATAGATGAGATTTCAGAGCTATCTCGCGATTATCTTAAGGACATCTCCATCTAGAGAGATATAGGTACAACAATATATCGAGGAACCTACGACATTCGTCGTTCTTTGGCGGGATACACATTTTTGATGTCTCATTAATTTGTAAATAAATCGCCCCAGTCCGATGATTGTCGCCGCTTAGAGACTGTCCAAAAAGGGAACATTTGGCACAAAGGTAAAGCTTCGAGGGAAGATGTGAATAATACCCCTCATAATTTTTCATATTCCGCGTCGATAGCATATTGTGTTGACTTTTTTTACAGTCCTGACCAGCGTTTGAAATCGGCTTTTAAAGGTTACTATCATTGGATATTACAAAACATTGAGAAATTTTGATTTTCTCCATGTAAAAAGGTGAAACTCAAAGAGTTGCCTCTTTTTCACCAGCTTATTTCACTATTAATCTAAGCTTGGGACAATTATCGAGGCAGACGGGGATAATTTCCGGATAACCGACCTGTTGTTTTGCATAACGTGAAGAAACTAGCTAAGAAAACCGCGCGAAAACGAATAGGTGGGTTTAAAATCTAAATGTCCCTGAGAAAGCATTGATTACTCGTCCATTTTGTATGTCTCAGTGGTATTTCCCAATTGGTCTGCTCGGCATACCTCGGAATTCCAGACTAATGTATCCAAAAGAAAAGTACAATACAAACAGTATACCTAACTACTCATGGAGAAGAGCGTCGTAAAAAGGTAAAGTATGGTAGCACAGTCATTTGAGCTTTGCGAATCGATTGAAATTAGAAACTTACTTGAAGTAAAACCATATTTGTTCGGTGTTAGCTTGTGTTATGCTACTGCTCTTAAATCACCGAGATGGTTTCTTAAATAGCTAAATAAACAAAGATTCCCAGTGGCTAATGGTCGACCGCAAGAATGAAAATTTGCAATCGATACCAAAAATTTACTCTCTTGAGCTTGACTCTATATAACTATTTAACATTTTAGTCCACTCTATTCTTTTAAAGAATAATAAGGAATGTAGTGACGTTAATCGATAATTTTGCTATGCTTGTTTTAAATATGTGCAAAGTCTGAGTTCTTTAGATATTTGAACGGAGACAAGACGTCAAAAATTTACTTGACATTCAACTTCCTGTGTAATAAATTAGCAACAGAACGCTGATTTTGTTCAAAACAACACACGCTGGAAGCTTGTTCTTTTGCCATGAGACTGATCTGGAAAAATATTTTTCCAAACGGGAATTGCTACCAACCTGATACTGCCAGAAGGAATTTTAAACTGATATTCTGCTCATAAAAATTTGGGGGAAAAAGATCAGAACTGGCTGAGTGTAAAGCTAAGAGAAACGTAACCCAAACAGAAAAGAGAAATGTTAGCGAAAGCTTGTCAGATTTGGGGAATCGTCCTATTTTCAGTAACTTTATTGAGTGAGTACCAAAGTTCTTTCTAAATCATAAAATTTTGTTCAGTTTATTAGTATCACGAGCATACTCCAAACTTCTTCAGAGTTCTCGAGCACGATTCGACCTTGTTGCTCTTCCAAAGGCACTCGCGGGAACATACGGCAGCAGATAGCGATAGCATCTTTTAAAATTTCTTGTTCCTGTAAAACGAGGGCATACTTTTAGAAGCAGGCATATAATTATTACTGAACTATAGATAACGCTTGTTAGGTATAAGCTTAATCGAACTTAAGTAGCTTTGAGGTGTAACTCTTACGCGGCAATGTAAATAAAGAAGGTTTATTTTCAGCCCGGTGAATAAGATTAAAGATATCGATTCTCTGGAATGACTAAGATAACGCATGCATAAGAGAAATCGTATCTAAACTACCTTTAAAAAAGATCACGATTTAAGACCCCTTGAAAATCAAGAAGAGAAATGGAATATTAATCTCCATCCTTTCTTTCCCATCTAAATTTTTAGCCTTTATCGTATTGTTGATTCATCGAGTTGACATAGTTAAACAGAGAAAGTTTTCATCGTAATTCTCAACTAAATTGGGCAGGAAAATCCATCGTAATTATACTTCAGAAACTGATCCCAAAACAGCCATCTACTAGGCAACCCCCCCCCCCCTTCCCTTAAAAAAAGGAATAAAAAATATGTTTTTGTCCTAGAATCATCTCGACAGACTTTAAAAAACGTGGAGACATTTTCCGCTACCTGTCTCAACGTAAGAGTTAGAGTTTATTCAGGAATAACTGCTCCTACCCGTGCACTAATTTCCTGAAGTAATGATAAAAATAATGATAATAATAATTAAATAAAATAGTAAAAATGAAAATTACAGATGAGTTCAATACGTGAACTGCGCCAGATATATTGTATTTTTCTGCATCTCTCTTAAATTTTGTTTATTCAGAGAGTAAAGTATTATGTCATATGTTTTCCTTTTAAAGAGCGAATTTGCATTTCGATTTTTTTGTGAAATCGGATAACACTGACATGGTGGCATTCTTGCAGCGAAAGAAAAAAAAAAGCAAGAAGCCAAGAAAAATGCCCGCTCTAGCGTAATTTGCTGGCTAAAAACGATTTTGCACTGGTAATCAGTGCGAGCGAACAGCAGTAAGACTGTTGAGTGTTGCAAGATCTAAAATTTGGAAAATCAACTAGTTTAACTAGTGGCACAGTGAAGTGTATTCAAATCACAATTTACGTCCAAAGTAATAAAAAACTTTGAATTGAATCAGTATCCCTCTCCTTGGGATTTTTTTTGGTTTAGTAAACTTATGGCGGTCTCGGCAAGATCAATTTTGAAGTGTAAGTGACGACCCATTTCAGTGCTTTAAGTTAATTGATTGAAATTCACGGCAGTATCATTAAACAATTTATGGTTGTCTCTCTCTCGTCCCAATAAAGAAACACTTAAAAGGAACGCAATTCTGATCAGTAAGGTTTGCTTAGTAAAGAACTGATTAATCTGTCATTTGATTTGGAGAAATTATCGTATCATTCGTCCCGTGTTTATCGCTAATGTTATCTTTTTCTCACAAATTCTAATTTGCCAGGATTTGCCAGACTTGATCAAGATAGCTACCCTGTCTCGTCGTGTTCGCTGCCATTATTGCCATCACCAAGCTCACCGTCGTCATCGTCACGCTTTCGGTCACCATTTCCATCACTATTACCACCGTCATCGTTATCGTCGTTGTCATCGTCATTGTTAGTATTATTGCCATCTTCGACATCAAGGCTATTGTTAGTATCATCATCATCGTCGTCGTTGCCGCCATTATTGCCATCATCAAGATCATTGTCGTCATCGTCACGTTTACAGTCACCATTATCATCATCACACTCATCAACATCACACTCATTTCCGTCACTATTACCAACGTTATCGTTGTCGTCGTTGTCATCGTCATTGTTAGTGTCATCGTCACTTTCGACATCAAGGCCATTGTTAGTGTCATTGTCATCATCGTCGTCTCTGTCATCGTCGTCTCCAAAGTTGACTTCTCCGCCAGTGACAATTGAGAGGCTGGTATGTACTGCAATTTCTCTAAATACTTACATTCATTATTTCCATTAAATAAAGTGTTCATTGACATCGCTTTCTTTTCCTAGGCAATTGAATATGTTTCTAAACTTGGTGCGATAGAGCTCAAGAGAGAAAGTTCACTGAAGGTATACCTTTGCTTAAAATTTTAGTTATCAATCGTTTAACTAAATTGCTTTGTATAGCTTGCGCATTATCTTGAAAGTGACTATCTTTAGATAAACGCAAAATTGGTCAAAGCTTTGACTTAAAATCGAGAACAGAACGTTTTAAGAGCACTATGAGAATCTGGTGCAGGCGCATAGTCTACTTTTATATAAAAGCAGATCTGTAACTTATGGTGCCCAAAAGTCTTTTCACTTCTTTTTTGTTGTTGTTTGAAGCTGTTATTGCTTTTATTTTTATGTTTTGGTTATTTTATGGGATATGTCAGAAATTTTAACTCAAATTTTTGTTTTTGTTCATACGAGAAGGATTATTTCTTATTAGAAGCCTGTTTACCTCCGCCGACTGTCTTAGTGTGGAAATTCAATTTTTACTGATTTGACATCATTATCAGACATTAAAAATATCTGAAGGTAATGTGACAGGAATAAAGAGTATTTCATAACGTTACAGGTGGCAATGCGTTTGTTTAACGACTTCACCAATCAGTATCAGAAGATAACAAAACCTTTCAAGGGCCAACTTGGTGAAGAAGAAGTTAAGAAAGGAACAGCAGCCATCTTTAAGGTAGCAGTCGCATTCGAGAAATTGGTTCTCAACTACAGCAGGTACCACCTGAATAGGACGAAACTGTTAAAGAAGATGACTGACAGTAGAATGGGTGAGTCAAATGTCGTCATTTCAGATTTGTGAAACTTTGTTGATTAAATAAATAATGACCAACAAAAGACCACTAGGCTGTCTAAAATAATGAATAAGGGGGTAAGTTTCTAAAGAAACTGTGGTGCTGCGTTGTTGGGAGAGCATAACAGGGTAATTAAGTATTATTTACTGAACTGGTAACGCAAACTGGCCTCCGTAAAGAATTGGCGTTTCGAGTTTTAGCCCTTCGTCATAGCGATTGACGAAGGGCTAACTAAAATAATGGCTAACCTGTAGCCTGGCTTGAAGAAATAAGCTATGCGCGTTACTTCTCAAAGGACGCTCGGAAATAATTTCACGCGCTTCAAATCCTTAAGTCTCCTTTCTTTTGTATTGATATAAATAGATGCAGATAGAAATTTGTAAATCCTTTTTTTTTTCTATTTGGATGTGAAAAAAAATTCCGACATTTTTATGACGTCTTTAGAATATTACATTTCACCTTTGTCAAATAAAACTGAATCGCTTTAAGACAATAGTGTGGCGTTACCACCAGCACCTTTGCTTGGAAACCTGGCACATCAACTCCGTCCACGCTCCTTTAAATCGTGATGACGGCGGCTTACTTCATTACGCTTATTTATACCTTGTCAGAAAAAAAAGGGAAGCTAATTAGTATAAAAGGACTTCTTGTTGCAGCGTTTAGATCACCCCTGACGAAGGCATTAGGCAGCAGTGGTCGAAACGTTGGGTCTCTGAATTGAAACTTCTCGGTTACATTAATGAAATCTTTAAACCATGGCAGCATGAAACCATGTCTGAGTGTGGCTCATTTTTTAGACTTCGCATGTATATTCAAATATGCTATAAAATTCTAAAACGGCAGTTACTTTGTTACGGTGTAATTCATTCAACAGAAGTAATACTACACTCCTACAAACCCAACTACTTTATCAACCAACGTGTAATACTTATTACTAAGAAGTTAAGCGACCCTATCTTACCTTAACCTTTTACAGATTATAACTTTGATGCCACTGACAAAAAAATAGATGTTTCCTCCAAACCCTCCTGAAATGTGTCATCTTTAAACTAAATCATAGTAGCTCTCTCTCAGTATAGTTTTCCAGACAGACAATCACGACCGGAAACAACAGCTACTTCTCTTAGATGACTAGATATAAATCTACAACGTATTGTAGAACTTTTCAGAGGCTTACAGTTCAATTATTCTGGTAGAATTAAATCATGATTACATATAACCTAATAGAAAGTTCTGGAACGTTCCATGCTAAGTCATCAGAAGGCTGGAGCATCCATGTCACAATAACAAGCCATTCTAGAAATCTCCAGAATCTACTTTTTACAGTAATTGTTTATTACATTTCCGTCTTATCTTTTCCTTTCTCCGACAGTTGTACGTATGAAGATTGGCTACCAGAATGATCCGAATAACTTCCTTCTCGAGGAAGAAGAATGGCAAACCAGCATTAACATTTCCTCTGCAAACTTTGCCAAGAATGGTAGACACCATTTAATCTCAAAATTGTGCAATGCCATTTTGCTACCGATTAATGCTTCATTTCTGTAGTGCTTCTACGAAGTCTTCCACATTCTGACTTAAAAGTGCGTTTGGTTGAATATCTGAAAAAAGGCTAATAAACACGTAAAATGTGTCGCTATATTTATGTTTTAGGTCTCAAGAAGTAAAAAAATTAACCAAAAAAAGGCAGCTTGATTGAAATATTCTAGTAAAGTCTGGGATGAAAATCTGAGGAAGAATAATAAATGTTGTAATGATGCAGTATCCAATATATAGTAACAGTTGGCTAGGTAAAATACTTGTGTTGGGAGGTCAAATAAATAGGTTTGATCTTAAGACTCTATGTATGTTTCGGTGTTCGAAAAGCGTATTGAATTGTATTTTTGAATAGCCCCATTTATTTTATAGCTGGCGGCTGTTGTGGGCTATATGAAGCGAATCATGTGTTCTGGTTTTTCTTTTCTTTTCTTTTGGAACAATGTTGTAGAAAAATAAGATTACCTTTAAGGCTAAGGCTTTGTTTTGAATAAGTATGGGGTTACGCCAAAGCCTCTCCGCGGTTTGTATGTCTTTTTTGTTTATTTGTTTGCTCAGGGTCCGTGGTTGTAGGATGTTTGTACAAAGATCTCCATGAATTGCTGCTGGCTAAGCAGTCCATTGGGAATGAAACTCACAATTCAAGGTGACCTTAATACGTAATATATTAGAGAATTGGTTCATGCTTAATGTGAGTGCGTTGAGTTGCATGCTATGCTAAGCCATAAAAAACACAGGCTTAACCAAACCACGCTTAACCTTGATGCCAGCCATCTTATAAGAAATTATTAAGCAGTGCCATTTCCAGTTTCCTGCGACGTTTGACTATCACAATTTTAATAGCTAAATGTGGCGAAGTCCTCAGTCAATAATTTGTACAACATCTAAAGACAATTTGCAAATGTTTTGGCTATTTGTCAACCTCTAAATCGCATATGGGGCTAAAACATTCTTTTTTTACCGTTAATTCCTAGAGGACTGACCTTCTTGTTGTGTTGAGTCAATTCAAACGAAATGAAATTTATTCCTAGGCCGTTGAGGAAAAAAAGCATTGCATGTTTTGGAGTGGCTTCAGCAAGAGGTAAAAACATATAATATCACATTAACTAATTTGTTTTGAAATAAATTTATTCTTTAACGTTTAAAATAACGTTATCATCATCAATTTATTATCAGTTTGTCTGTCGCTTCCAGAGAACTTTCCATATGAGTTTAATGTTTATTATTCTCTTCCTGTAAATGATGGGATGAGAGGGCATCTTGAGAGTCAAAATATATTTCATAAATTAAACTAGACCTGCCTCCAGAATGAACCTTTCGACACTCTGCTTGTTTCAAACCAAATTGCTTATCTCACATTCTTTTTTTTTTCTTTTTTTTTTTCATTTGTCATATTCATTTACTTTTTCAGTCCAGACGGGTACTCAGAGGATGGTTGTCATGTAGATACAGCGAAGAGTAACTCAGAAGAAACAGTTTGTAGATGCAATCATTTGACTTACTTTGCTGTCTTAGTTGATTTTGACAGTGGTCGTACAAAGGTAATTTTTTTTAATCATCTATATAAATTTTTAACGTACTTCCACCGTTGGGTCCACTGATCAATTTTTTTGTTTCCAATTTCTGATACAGCTCTCCAAGAAGGACGGAACGATCCTGGAGACTATCACGTACGTAGGGTTAAGTCTTTCCATCATCGGGATGCTTTTGACAATCGTCTTTCATTCTTTCTTCAGGTATGTACTGTTGCCAAACAATCACTTATGACTTTGAACCTGATTTCATAAAGTTGGCCAGGGTGTGCAAAACTAGATTTCAAAAATCACTTTTGGCAATTGCCATTTGAAAGACCATGGCGCTTATTGGATTAGGCAATCAATGACCGAAATCCATGCAGTATGGGACGAGTAGCACTCGCTATCATACACCATCTGGTTAATCTGCTCTCGAACCGCCTTAAAAAATAAAATGTAAAAAGCAGTAGTGTTCCTTCCAATTTCCTTGCAACTAGATATACTATGCATGCTGAATATTTCTTGTATTTATTCATATATTCAAAGTTCATTCGTTTTCTCCTATAGACTTTCAGTTACGTTCGCCTTTGATAACTATCACTGCTTTATTTTATCTTTGTATATATATATTTACTTCATCAGAGATGTTCGTCAACCTCTATCACAAATACGTTTAAGTCTTTCTGCGTCCCTCGGAGCTGGACAAATAATATTTCTTGCCGGGATAAACACCACAGAAAACATGGTACGTTGCATATCATGCATGGAAGAAATTGTTATTTAACACTTCAGATTTTTCACAGCCAGTAGCATGTTGTTTCTTTCTCTCTTGTAGGCTGCTTGTATCACAGCAGCAGCTCTTATGCAGTATTTTCTGATGGCCGCTTTCTGTTGGATGCTGGTCGAAGGAATTTATCTCTATCTGTTTGTTGTAAAGGTTTACAACATCAACACTAAGATGCACATGTACCACGTCATATCATGGGGTATTTATAACTATTTATTGCCATATTTGGTATATTATTCCCCGACATACACTTCATTCTTCGTTTTCTCTATTTGTAGGTCTTCCTGTCGTCATGGTAGCCATTTCATTGAGCATTGCTGCTGGAAAAGAAGGGATGAAAAGCTTTACCAATGATAAATAGTAAGAAAAAACATTTGATGTTTTCTTGTTTCCACTATATTTCAGTTATGGTGGTGATTTTTCTTTCTTTTTTTTTTTCCTTGTCTCAAGTTGCTGGTTGTCTTCAACTAATAAGCCGATCTGGATTTTCGTGACATTCGTGGCGTTTATCGAATTAGTAAGTTTATGACTAATTGATGTCATATGATTATTTTTATTCATATTTTCGAATTGAATATCATGTTTCTCTCTATCGAAGACAATTGTCTGTGTTTTTTTTCCAAATCATAATCATTGTTATTATTTTTTAAAATGTTTATTCAGTTTAACATTTTGATATTTGTGCGAGTCATAAAGGAGATAACTACACTCGTAGAACCATTAGCGGAAGACAACTATGCTCAGCAAATAAGGTATGACTTGAAATTAAATTTAAAAAAAAACATTATTTTTGATAAGGCATGGACTTGTTTTAGCAATGTGAGTTTAAATAATTGCGATGTTATTTCTCCAAACTTAAATGGCTTTTCTCATGGAGTTTTCCAGTTCTTCCCAAGGAATCATTAAACGTCGAGGGGAAACAAAATCCACTGAATCCTTCGAGGCCCGTCGCATTACATTTAGTAGAATTACCTTGTTCTATGATACTCGCTTAACTCTCTGATTAATCTGAATCAGTGGGTGGTCTTACAGTGATAAAATTTGGGGGGAAAAAAGGAAAAAAACTAACTCTCATGCCGCGTTGCAATTGTTCTCATCCTTTAGAATTGGCGTTAAAGCGGGCGTGGTGATGATTCCCCTGCTGGGCGTTTCGTGGTTGTTTGGTTTTCACTTACATTTTTACCATCCTCAACTCTACGCAGGTTAGCTTAAACTCGTGATTCGTGATATTGAAATAATCACGCTAGAAAAAGGAAAATCTCGTTGTTGGTATGCTTGTAGACATTTTAGTTGTAACGAGATCAATTTGGTCTTAGAGGAAACTATACTATAATTGATTACTTTGTATATTCATAACAAAAAAGTTCTTACCACTTTCTATGTCACTCTTACAATTGTCAGAGGTTTTAATACTAACACCACATTCATACCAAAGCCCAAACTTACTTAACCTTTTTTGTCTTTCTGTTTCCTTGTTTCTTTTTTATTCGGTTTTATCATAGAAGCGGCTTAAGGTAATTTTTGTGCGCGTCCAGTTTAGCACGTTGAAAATACAAGTTAGTGATCACCTGGAAATCATAAAAAATACATTTTCAGCTCGCTGTTGCTGATTTCCAATTAGTTTAACCTGGTCCAACTAATGAACTTTTTTTCTGGTTTAAATGGGATAAAAATTCAGCTTAATTCATTCAAGAAACCCAACATGACCCTTAACCCTTCATACATTACAAAAGAAAATCAAAGTGCTCTGTGAGCAAACTCGTGAATTGACACATGATTTTTTAGATTATGTTTAATGTTATCTGGTTTAGGGATTTTGTGGTTGATTGTCATATCTAGAGTACGAGCAGTAGTTCAGTGTTCGCTAATGTCACTTTGGATCTCCGCCTGGGTAGATTTAAGTCACGTGCTAGGCAACGTACAATCAATAACAAGATAGAATTTCATTTCAGGCCTATTTATCAATTTTGTGGTGTGTAACTTTCGCATTTTAGTACGTTGTATGTATGTTGAATCTTCAAATTGTCTTGAAACTTAAAAGAAAATTGTTCTTTAAAAATTCACTGAAAATCGGTAGCTAAAATTGTTTGTTTAGGTGTTATTTGATTTTCGTGTTAACTTGTTATTTCGTCAGTCGCCGGCATCTTTTGTTGCTTCACACAGGAAAAACACACGCAACGAAACGTAATGATCAATTTTGTCCTCAATCTCACGTTATAACAGAAAAAGCTTTTGAACATCTGTAAACTCCGAGCGCTTAGCAGTAAGTGATATTTTCAATCAGTGAATCATCGGATTGTTTTCAAGTTCAAGGATTGTAAATTACAATTTTATGAAAAACGAAGGTTGTTCTGTTGTTTCAATGTGAATCCTTGCATCCTCGCTTGTTGAAACTAAAACGCAAAAAAAAACTCTTTTAAGATTATCATTGGCTTCTTTTTCACCCCACCACTATTCTTAGCAACAAAGGTCGCCATTTCGTCTGTTTATTGCTCGCCAAAAACTATAAAATGCACTCAAAAGCCTAAAATCTAAAAAAAGTTTACAGGAATCGACCAATCGAGCGAGCGAGCGAGCGAGCGAGCGAATTCCATTCCCCACATCGTATCTATAACTCGCTCTTGCGCATGCGCGCAATTCACGAGTTAAAAATGATTCTCAACCCTTTTTTTTTTGTTTGTTTTAGGGCTTCCTGATTTTCGTGCTGCATTGTGTGCGAAACACCCAGGTGAGATGAACTTTGAAAAACAATTTTTTATCTTTTTTTTGAATTTTTATGAATTTTTTAATTATGTAGAGTGAAAATTTTTCCGCTTTTCCACCTTCAGATTCAAGAGCGATTCAAACGAAAGCTGAACACTGTTTTTCCATCTGTATATACTAAAAACTCCGCAATGAAGGGCTCACAAATTGATCCAAGTGCTGTCGAATATATAGGGGCGGCTGAATTGCAGTCTTGCGATGAATTTGAACTGAAATAAAATTTAAAGAACTGGACTCAGCGGGCTGAAAATAATTATCGAATGTTTGATACGATCGTCAGGTTTGATCTGTCAGATCGTTCTATTCGCTTCCAGTTACGAGCTCATTGTAATGTTCATGATTGTATTTAAAAGATGTTTAAGGCTAGTTTGAATGTGCTGTGCCCTCGTTTCATGCGCTTTTAGGTCTTAGTATTCTGTGAACAGCATTGCGCTTGACTCTCGCAATCGTTTGAGTTTTAGATCATCAGTTATTTATTTGTTTCGTTATTTTGAAATCCTCTGTGCCAAATGTTTGTTATTATTGAACGACGACGCAGTCTCTGACCCTTTTTGATATTCGGAGTAAACACAGGGTTACTTGTCAAATAGCTTTTTTGTTATTGTAATAAAAACAGCTGTAGATAAAACTTTAAGCTAATAAAGAACTTAATGGATTAATAGATAAATCAATAAAATAATAAATGAGGAGTTAGTTCTATTGTGAAACTGTTTTATCCGAACAATGAGGTTTTTTTTATTAAATCTCTGAAATAGGGATTACATTTTCGAATCGCAAATGCTGCAATCCCTTTAACCATGAAAAGGCAAAACTTCGTCTAAATATGTTAAAGGAAGAATCGCTCAGATCTGATAAGCAATGCGCGAGCAAGTTCTGAGAAAATGACCAGTAGCATCATGGGTTGCCGTAAAAACTGACCGGTTTGGGGTCATTCTTGGGGCCCTAATGTTAAGCACAAAGGCCGCGTTCTCACACCTACACAAAAACTTCTGTGTTAGGGAAACGATAGACTTAAGCAGTGGTTCTGAAATACGTGAAGAAATGACCAAAATGGCAGTAATTTACAATGATAACAAACAAGCTAAATGAATTTCGAAAGATAAAAGGGCAACAAGAACACACCTGACAGTTAGGATACGTGAATGAAACGACATCATGACTCCTTGGAAAAAAAATTTGACTACATGATGCGGAAACTTATATCAAAATGCTAACGCCGCGTAGAGATTGGAGACTAGGAAACCGCTAAAAGACTTTGCAACAGCACGGAAATCTGAGCGAATCACGGCTTTTCAATATTTGCCCTTTACCTAGAACGCTTGATCAGCTTGGAAAACACAAAGATGTCTTGGTGAAGTACAAAACGGAAAAAGCGTCTACACCTCTCGTTGAACCGTCCTCAAATCATAAATCATAAATCACCGTCCTAAAAAAAAAAAAAACAAAGAAATTTTGCGTCGAGAAACGTTTGCCACGATCAGCATCTTCTTATATATGCTTTTTCTCTGTGTATGAAGACATAAATATACAACTTAGAAGAGAGGAGTGAGGTGTTCATAAAAATGGTCTCCAACACTTGGCATTATTTTGGCAGGGAAACATTTTTCAACCGTCCTAAATGATTTTTTTGCAAGACAAAATAAATTATGCGGCTTTTCTACTTCCCTCCTATTTTGACCTAACCGTAGAAAAATGTATTTGCTGACATTGATTTTTATCTCACTTTGACCCAACCATAGGAAAAAAGAAAAGCGTTGGGAACGAGCGAGATGTCCGTGAGCGTTCTGGCGCGAGTATGAGAGACCTCTCGGAGACCTTTCGCGTACTCGCTCGGGCTGCCGCTCGAATGAGAGATAACTGGCAGGCTTAGTTTTCCTTCTTCTGCCGTAGCTTTTTTGGTACTTTTCTCTTGGTTCGATTTAGAAAGTCCGGCGAGGTATGTATAAACTCCGTGATGTGGCCAGCGCGTTCACACGTCACAGGTTGCTCATTTCATTTCATTTTCATTTCATTTTATTTTTATTTAAACACGGTCAATTCATCAGCCTAAAAAATACATATGACATACGCTAGAATATTTAAAACTTAAACTATATAATATAACACTAAAAGCTGTTTTCCGTGAGTGCCGTGCATTAGACTTAAAGAATGTCATTGATCTTACGTTTAAATGCCGCATACGTTTAAATATCGCATGGCAGACTGTTCCATAGTGTGGCGCCATTGTAGCTAAAGCTTTTTCGGTAATAATTAGTGCGCGGTAAGGGAACATTGAGCTTATTTTCAGAGTCCCTGAGGTCATAAGCAGAGTCACGCCACGTAAACTTTGAACACAGATACTTTGGAGCTAGCCCGTGCAGACAACTAAACATCATGGTGGCTTTGTGAATTTCCTGCTGGCGTGTAAGATTTTTCCACCTTAAAAACTCGAGTAGCTCAGTTGCATTAGCATCATAGTTAGAGAATGTCAACACACGGGCTGTTCTATTCTGCAATTTCTGCAGTTTGTCTTGTAGCGTTTTCCCACAGTTACCCCAAACAATGTCACAGTAATCAAAGTGAGGTTTTACTAAGGCTTGATAAACGAGATGTAAGGTTGATGCTGGGATCAGGTGCCTAATTCGCTTTAGGGCCCCGATACCAGAGGCGATCTTTTTGGTTAATTTTTCGATGTGACTATGCCAATCGAGTTTATCGTCTATTATTACACCAAGCGATTTCGTAGCTGTAACCTGGCTCACTTGAGTATTGTTCATTGTAATTGTTGGTGAAGCTATGAGAGTATTCAGTCTCTGCCTCGACCCTATTAGCATGAATTCGGTTTTGGTCATGTTCAATGTAAGTTTGTTTGCTTGTAGCCAGTTGAAAACGTTTGCTAGGTCTTCATTTAGACAAAACTGAACATTCTCAAGATTACTGCCCGCATATGTAAGGTGCGTGTCGTCAGCGTACATTCTTGGTTTACAATTTGATAAGCAATTTGAAAGATCGTTAATATATAATAAGAACAATAATGGCCGAGGATGGTCCCTTGAGGGACGCCGCATGTCAGTGAGTAGCTATTGGAAAGCGACCCGTTCACAGAGCATTTTTGTGTGCGGTTTTCTAGATATGACTGAAACCATTTGAAAGATTTGCCATGTATACCATAATAGTTTAGTTTCGATAGAAGAATCTGATGATCAACAGTGTCAAAAGCTTTCTTCAAATCCAGAAAAATCACTCCATTGATTTTCCCGTTATCAATATCATATGCCCAAGAATCTGTCGCTTCCAACAAAGCTGTTACAGTTGAATGATTAGCACGAAAACCTGACTGGTTTTGACATAGAATATCGTGCTCTTTCAAATAGGCATATAACTGTTCATAAACTATCCTTTCAAACGTCTTCGCCACTATTGGAATCACCGATATTGGGCGGTAATTGTTTACATCACCGCGGTCACCCTGTTTGTAAAGAGGGGAAAGCCTTGCATATTTCCAGGCATCTGGGAACGTCCCTTGGTTAATAGAATGATTGAAAATATCACATATCGGTACACAAATAAGATCAGCACATTCCCTGACCAACCTAGCAGATATTTTGTCAAGGCCCGTTGCCTTTGACTTGTCTAGTTTATTTAAAAGTGAAAATACTTTATTTGGATTGGTGGGTTGGAGCTTAAACCATTTATCTGTAGCGGTAGGATATCTTTGATAGCCACCACTATCGCAATTTATCTCACGGGCAAGTTTTGGACCAATATTAGCAAAGTGGTTATTGAATTCGTTTGATAGCTCCAACGGATTAGTTATCGTTAATCCGTTCACTTTTAGTGACGCCACTGACGTTTTCCCAGATTTTCGAGAGGTTAGCTCGTTTATAGTCTGCCAGGTCTTTCGGGAGTCGCTGGTGTGCTTATTAAAACTATTTTGGTAATAAACTGGCTTAGCTGAGCGTATTTGCTTATTGGTTATATTTCTTTGTTTCTTAAATAATGCCCAATCGTTAGGATCATTTGTCTTGCTAGCTTTGATTTTTAATAAGTCTCTATTATGCATAGAGTCTTTCAGTTCAGAGGTAATCCATGGAGAACTCCTTGAACGAACACGCATCGTTTTCAGTGGGGAATGTTTGTCAGCAATAGCTAGAAATGTACATTTCCATTGCTGCCACATCACGTTTGGGTTGGAAGACTCATATACATTATCCCAACATTGAGATAGGATGTCATAACGAAAATTTTGACGATCGAAATTTCGGAAATTTCTATATGTAATAGAATTATGTCCATTAGACATTCCGTTCTGGGCAAGTTTTCTATATACATACACCATGCTATGATCACTTATCCCGATGTGACAAACTCCCGAACAAACTATCTTATCTGAGCAGTTGGTATAGATTAAATCAAGTAGAGTTGAAGTGGTGGGTGTTATCCTCGTCGGTTCAGAGATGAGCTGCTCGAGTCCGTAGACATCGGCAATACTCCTTAATTTGGATACATCATTGTCATATCGAATAGTGATCATATCACAGTTCATGTCTCCCAGTACAAAATATTCTACATTTTCACTATCCAATTTTCCAATTAGGGATTCAAAAGGTGAAAAAATGCCAATAGGAGAGTCAGGTGGTCTGTACCAAGTAACAATCACAAAAGGTTTTGAATTTGGCTTATGGATTTCCAAGCAAAGATTTTCTAATGCATCCATATGTAGGTCATTTCGTACAGTAAAGTTGATTGAGGTTTTTACATAGAAGCATACCCTTCCGCCGGATTTTGTAAGTCTATCGCGGCGAATTATTTCGTATCCCGAAATATGAACTTCATGATCTCGAATACTCTCGTTCAGTTTCGTTTCATTTATGGAAACAATATCGATATCATTGTCTGCTAATAGGATTCTTAGCTCGTCTATATGTGTTGTTAATTGATTAATATTGAGTGATGCCATTTTAAAACCGCGCAAAGGAGGCAATAGTGAGATAGATTTTTCGGCTCTCTGGTTGCTTAATCGGTCCCGCACGGCATTGACGGAAAACACTTTGCTTGGAATATCAAGACGAAAATATTTTATGAATTCTCCCAACCTCCCTTGCTTTCGATGATGCTATGTTAACAAGAAATAAAGTCTTC